TAGTACATAAAATAAGCTTTAATTTGATATATGTTTAAAGGACGCAGTATTTCCGGAACATTTTCAAAAATTAAGTTGAAAAAGTTAGTTTTTGTAAAAAAGTTGCTATTTTAAATCCCTTCCAATGAGCAGGTTAAGTGTTAGATTTTCAAAAAAATGATATCAAATGAAAGGGAAATATCTAAGGTTTTAGTATAAAGAAAAATTAATATTAATTAATAAAAATAACTAATTTATGTTTTATAATTATATATAATTTATTTATAACAAACTGACTTTTTTTACTATAATTTTATAAATAAATAAAAATAAAAACAGGTTTAAGAAATTTTACAAGAAAAACTAAAATAATACATTGAAACTTTAATGAAACATAAATATAAATATTTGAAAATAAAATTTAGTAAAATGATCCAACTCCGAATATTACACATTACAAAATTCTCCATAAACTAATAATTTAAGTTTGAAATTTACAGAAAATATAAGTACATAAAATTAAAACAATAAGTTTTGTGTGAAATTAATAAACAAAAGTTTTAATCATTATTATGGACAATATTTTTTAGGTGGAGGCATGATGGGTATGAAATCAGTGAATTCTTCTTGAACAAATTCATTACAATCCATTTTTCCATAAGTTTCAGTCTGCATAAGGATTTGGATTTGTGGTTTGTTATTAATTTTCTTTTTTGGCTCATTAGCAACATTATTATTATTAAAACCTTGACCATTTTCTTTATCAAAAATTTTATTTGATTCAGCCGAGGATAAATATTTAATTGTCATATCCCAATAACTGTTTGAATCTACTTGAATGGAATTGTGAAATGCTGGATTATTCAAAATGGTGTTACATTTCTCAAATGTGGCCAACTATAAATTTGTATATATATTAGTATCAAAATTCAATTTATCAAAACGACTAACAGTTTTTATGTTTAAAATAACTTATCTTTTAATGAACACACAAATTTATTAAGCTATATTTCTTTTAAGTTTTATTTTAATAAATTTTTCCAAAATCATTTGATTTATTATTTGTCATTTATTTTTAAGCTACTTTTACTATAAAAAATAAATTAATTGTTTAATATATTTTATGAATACATATTTAATTTGCTTACAAACACCAAAAAACCTAAAAATATATTTAATAATCATTGAATAAAATAGAATTCAATATTTTAAAAAGATTATATATAATAAATATACAATCAATAAATAGTTTTTATATGTTAACAGTTACATTAAATACAATTTTCAACTAATGTGGATACATAAAATGAATACTGTTATAACTAATAACAATGATCAATTAATAATCTGTATACTTGGATCTTCCTTGATTTAATTACTGTAAAAGTATTTATTTAGTCTTCAAAGTCCATTGATTGAAGAAATTCTGAATTTGTTCTAAATTTTATCAAACTAGACATCTTAATATCTGAGATTGAACTGCAAATCTAGTTTTAATTATACTTAATAGGAAATTTCTAAACCATTGATACTCTGGGACGGGTGGTTAGTCTGTCGCTGGACAGAGGAATGGCGACTTCAATTACCAAACTGATCTCTTGTTCGGCAAATAAAGCCGCCCGTGACTGAGTTTAGAACCCGAGGCAGTGCACTCAAGCACTGCTGTGTTACTGACTCGGCCACACCGTTCCAGTTTTTAGAAGAAGTTATTGAAATGTATGTTTGATTCTAATATTAACACATCTTCTAAGTCAATGGAGAATTTTTCAATTAATCTTTAAGTTTTTTCTTTTAACATTATTGATATATAAGTATCAATTTAGAAAAACAAATATATACAATAAAGGTATTTATACTTATTATATTTATAATTAAATGGAATTTTTTTCTATTCATAAATAAAATATATAAGTTTTAGGAGACTGTAAGTTATATTACCAGTAAAGAATCATATATAGTGTTATGATTTTTGATATTTTACTATATTGTGAACATAATGATACTTTCCGTATAAGAAAAAAGACTTGAACTTATACAAAATGTTAAAAATAATGCAATTATTATGGAACATCAAAACTTTGAAATCAAATTCTCAAAATGACATTTTTTTAGTTGTCTTTATTGTATTCTACTAGAGTGATGTAATCAAATATTTAGCTATAACATTGAATTATTACTTTACCATATCATTCAATACATTTTCCTCAGATATTATTATACTTTCCTTTTGCCGACAAGCTTTTAGTAATAATTTTTCATATAATTGTTTCTAAATAAAATTAATTAATTATTTATAGGTCAAAATTGAATAGTAAATTGAATAAAGCTTACGTGTATACTTAGAGCATCAAGATTTAAACTTTTAGCAAAATAATAATCACATCTTATTTCTTCAAATGATACTTCAATTAAATTTAAAATGCCAATTGGTTGAATAGGAAATGAATGACCAATAGGTTGTGAACATGAAAGTGGCCAAATATTACTAGAAAGTAGTTGTTTCATGTGTGCTTGATAATTATTACTAGAAAAAAGAATAATATAATTACTATAAGTAATATAATAATATAATTAGTATAAGTAAATAATTTAAACTAAAACTTACATTTCACTAGAATAGTTTTTCAATTGAGATTGTAACTGATCACATTTTGTATTTTTGTATCTAAAAAAATGTAACAAAATAAGTATTCACCATTTTTAACCTATTACTAATGTCCAATTTATGCAAAAATAATTGAAATTAAATTTTTAGTTGTATGTACAGTGAAGCTATCCATATATATATTATAGTTAAATATGTATTACACAGAATAAACAGGTACTTAAGTTTTTATTTAATTTTTTGTAGAATAGCATATAAAATTTTTTTTTTTCAAAATAACAAATGGAGAAATATTTATTAAGTTACAATCATTTTAATACAATGAATGGTTATGTAGCTGGGGGTGGGTACAGCTCATAATGATATGTATTCATATATAGAGTTCAGTGAGTAAGAAAATACATTTCTATTGTTCTCATTGCTTTTAACAATTGACTTGTTTCCTTACTTACTGAACACACTATATACAGTATATATACCTATGATACATACCTAGTCTATGTTTTACAATGGTTGTAAATTATTGAGTATTTGTCCTTAAATTGTAACTGATCCATCAAATTTTTTTTAATTTTTATGGTTAAATAATAAAATAAATGCTTTAAATATAGTTTTAAAACTATCCTTTTTTCATTTGATATACTTTATCTTAATCAGGATATAAATAAGGAAATAGCAGATCATGTAACTTTTGGAATAGTCCACCAATTTTTTAAAATTAAATACTATCTAAAGATTTGCATGAAAACGTTTTTTATGATAGTGATTTTAATCACTGTCAGATATCATTAAATTTGATATAACTATGCCACGTCACCACTGGGGCGCGACCCCCCTGTGCTGGGTTTTTTTAAAATAATAATATATTAATATTATAAAAATGTTTTTACAACATTATTTTTAAAATTTGCTATATGGGTTGTGTATTTGTAACTTTATAATTACTGTATTAAAATTTCACTGAAATATTAATGATTTGTCAAATTCACAATTATATATATTTGTGGTTAAGTTATTTGCTTAATTAAAAATAAAGTAATATTTTGGTAAAAATTGAGAATTTTTTACTGTGACAGACCATTTTTTATAAAATAATTGTGAGATAAATTTGTTTTTAATATTGTAGTACACTTCAGGAGCTTTAATTTTATATATATAAGTCTTTAACATTTTCAAAAATTATGTTGAAAAAATTTTTTTACATGTGTAAGTGATCTCTCTTTCCTATACTTAAGATTTTTATACAAAGCATACAAAAGGAAAGCTTATTATGTCAAGAATACTCTAACAAATTTTCTTATGATTAGTATTTAAAAAATACATATATATATATATATACAGGGTGTTCAGTAAGTCAGGAAACGGGTTTCTATTGTTCTCATTGTTACAAACAATGAGAACAATAGAATTTTAAAACTGATATATACAGGATATATCAGTTTTAAAATTCATTAAAATTATTTTTGAAAAAGCAATTTTTATACTGCGTTTTAAATTTAAAAATTGTTTAGAAAATTTTAAATAGTAGGTTTTTTTTTTAAATTTTCAGTGCTGAAATGCTTAACTAAATTAAAATGACATGAACTAACAAAATCAGTCTATTGAAAACTTAGAATTTCTATGGACAAACATAAAAAAAAATTTAACTAAATGACAGTTGTAACAAAAGTAATACGTATTATTAGTTAGTTCTAAGACACTAGAGATTCAGTAGTCTAAATCTAAGAACCCAGAACAGGGGGGTCGCGGCACAGTGGTGACGTGGCATAGTTGGATCAAGTATAATGATATCTGACAGTGATTAAAATCACTATAAAAAAAAAAACGCTTCGATGCAAATCTTTAGATAGTGTTTAATTTTAAAAAATTGGTGGATTATTCCAAAAGCTTCATAAACTGCTAGTTCCTTATTAATATCCTGATTAAGATAAAGTATGTCGAATGAAAAAGGGATTATTAAAAAATAGTATTTCCCATAAAAAAATTATATTGATCAATACACTTTTCAATAAGTTATAGCATTATAAAGTTAAAAATGTAAAAAATAAAATTGAGAATTTTCACACAATAATAGCATTTGGTAGCCATTTTCACCGTGAAGACAAAATAAAATCCGAAATTTTTTTTTACATAATAAAGTAGATTACATTAGCTTTAATTTAATATATATAGAAAAGTGTCAAACTTTCTGGAACACTTTCAAAAGTAAAGTTGAAAAAGTTCTTCTTTCTATATGCATTTCNAGAATTATATTGATATGTTTATTTTTAAAAAAGTTACGGCAGTTTTTAGTAAAAAAAATTGAAAAAATTTCGAAAATTAGCCATTTTTAAATTTGTAATTTTTTCGGAGGTTTCCCCATTTAAGGGGAACGAGGGAATTTTTTTCAATTTTTGAGGGTAATGTCTTTGACTAGATACAATTTGTGATCTGTTGACGTATCATTGAAAGAAATCGGTTCGGTGAGAGCTGAGAAAAAGTGGTAGCAGACAAAAAAAAACAATAATAAATAATTAAAAAAAAAAAAAAAAACACATCTTAGTAAAACCAATACCTTCTCAGCTTCGCATCGAAGCTAATATAAATTGGATAAACACAATAATAAGCAATTAAAGTTAGCTGACCAAAAAATAAGATGCAAAATGCTTTTAATATTAGGATGATCATTTAAATATAAATTAATTGTGCATTGGTTCATCATAATTAATCACCAGATAAATTTAATGGCGACAGAAATAATGTTAAGTAATATCTTTTTAGTGATAGACGTAAGATTAATCTCATCTTATGGTAGCTAAGTGATAATAATTTGTATTTGGAAGAAGACTTTTAAATTGTCTTTTATTTCAATAATAACAAGGTTAAATAATAAAATATCTTATTGTTATTTTTTATTTTAATTAACTTTTCATTAGTTTATAAACTATTATTTTTTTTATGCCATTCCAACTATAATTATATATTATAGTTGCATTTTGATAATTAAATCAATAATAGTTATAATTTGAAAATATCAAAATTTTATAGACTGCAAGTTAATTTTGGTAAAAAAAATTTATTTTTTCAAATTGAATAAAAGTATGCTTGTAAGATTTAAACAATAATATTAGTAATAATTTTCTTAAGATTATTTTCAAAATATATACTATAGATTTTATGGATTTTGGTCAACAAAATGTACCTTGAATTACTTTTTCTATTAGCTACTGCATATGAACACTGATTTTCATCTTTATAATAACTATTATTAATTCCAAAACTTTGTCTACTAATGTGATATTGATTATTATTTTCAGTCTGATTTTCTATAAATTCATCATAAGAATTATATTCTTTATTTCTACTGTAGTTCTTTCCATAATCATTTTTCAAGCCATGATTTTTTCTTGAACTACTACAGTTATTTTGATTGTTTGATTGATAATTATATCTATTTGAATTGTCATATTCTTCATTTTCATTATAATAATTATTACCATGTCTTCTATTTTGTTGGGAATTATAATTATAATACGAGCCAGTGTTTCCTATAAAAATAATAACATATTATCACATAATTTTATATCTATTGTATCTAAAACTACTGCAATATGTTAGAGCTCCAGTAATCCAGTAGATATCAGACCAGAGTACTGACGAGTTTATTAAATTGTCAAATTAACAAAAATTCTTAAAAAACACATATAATATATCTTCATAACTATAAAAATATAAAAAATTAATAAAAATATAGTTAAGAATAATACATAATTTCAGAGTCATGTTACTATTGACAGTTTACTGTATTAACAGTATATAGAATTCTATATCTTTATTCAAGTATTTATAAAATATGAGGGTATTATACTAGAGTATTATTAATTATTATGAAATGTGATCACAGACTTTTCTTGAACTACTATCTTAATTTAAATAATTAAGAAAGAAGTTCAATAAACGTTTTTAATTTATTGGCGTTGGTTTTCAATAATTACTTACTGTCATTTCTTGAATGATAGTCATCATAGTAATGATCATTTGTTTGATTTGAATGTAAAAAACGGCAAGATGTACCGTACATACAATTCCCTTGCAAAAAAAATTTACATACCCTTTGGTTAAAGGACATTTTTTAATTTATAATAGTATTAAAAATGTTAATAATTAAAAATTAAAACTTTTAATTCAACGGAATACATTTTTAAGAATTTTAAATGCTACTGGAAAACTTTTATACTTTTTATCAGCTCTACTAAGATAACGGTAGTTATCAGCTGTTGTTAAAATATAGAAGTATGCAAACACAAAGTGAAGAAAATACTTTTTGTATAAAATATATTGTTATTCTAATAAGCAATGCTTGACTATGTATAAAATAAATTTATGTAGGTATCAATACTTTTAGCTTCGATTTGTAGGTAAGAAGCTTATAGTTTTATTATAATGTACTTTTTTTTCTGTTCATGAAAATTCTCAGCTCTTACTAAAGTATTCTAGAGACAATAAGCTTTCTTTTGGTGTGTTTTGTATAAAAATATAATTAATTACCTAAATACAGGATAAGTATAAAGGGATGACCCACGCATACCAATAAAATTTTTAACTCAATTTTTGAAAATGTCACGGACATCAGTCAACTTTTAACCTATATCAAATTCAATTCATATTTTTATGTTGATACAATATTAATAAAACCAGCATTGTGAAATTACGGAATAGTAGGGACGAGTATAGATGATATAGTGGTTAACATCACAATCACAAAAAACGTTTTGATGCGAATTTGTACTTAAATGTCTATGTACCAAATAATAAACTTAAAACTAAATTAAAGCAATATTTGATAATAGTTGGGTAGTCGACAGCTGAAATAAAACAAAATCTCGTGACTAAGATGTTACTTCACTATGTTTAGGAGTATAACCTTAGAAAAAGCTGTTCCCTATACCTTATAATCTAAAGGAAGAATATTTATGAAGTATAAATAATTAAATACACGAAACCGTTAAAATCAGTATACTTAAGTAAAATAATTTGCAATTAAAATAATCATGGAATACACAGGCGTCTCGAGACATTTTAAAAATAAAAATCAAGAATAACAGAGAATATATAACGTAAGGACGTTTTTCTTTGTTCTTCATAAGTACTTTTAAAAATTTTTAATCTGCTATAAGTTTAAAAAATGCATACATTCTGGAACATTTTCAAAAATTGAGTTGAAAAATAAATATTTACATGTGTAGGTAGTCAAATTTGAACCCTTCCTGTACTTAAGGTTATCATTGAATTTTCACCAAAGTTATACCAGAAGAAAGCTTATTTACTTTAGTATATATTATTCAAATTTACTAGGATAACAAAAAAGTTATAGAATTTTTAAAATGCAGAAATAAATTTTGTTTTTTGTTGTTTTCAAAGTCGCGAATTTTAAGTAATTTTTAAAAATTTTAAGAGGTATTTTCAATTTTCGAAGGTAATACCTTCAACCAGATTAATTTCAGATTCTTTTAATGACGTATAGGTTATCAAAAGTAGGAATGGACCAAGGTTCTGCTTTAAGCTCTTACTTATTTTCTTTAGTGATGGATGACAATACTAGAGAAATACAAGGAGAGGTTCCATGGTGCATGTTGTTCGCTGACAATATAGTGTTATTAGGAGAAAATAGGGAGGAAATTAATCAAAGGTTAGAGGTTTGGAAATCAGTACTTGAAGAAAAGGGTATAAGAATAAGTAGGAGTAATACAGAGTATATAGAGTACGAGTTTGANGTGCATGTTGTTCGCTGACAATATAGTGTTATTAGGAGAAAATAGGGAGGAAATTAATCAAAGGTTAGAGGTTTGGAAATCAGATCTTGAAGAAAAGGGTATAAGAATAAGTAGGAGTAATACAGAGTATATAGAGTACGAGTTTGATAAATTTTTTTTTTTAATTTTATAGTACATGACATAAGCTTTAATTTGACATATGTTTAAAGGACGCAGTATTTCCGGAACATTTTCAAAAATTAAGTTGAAAAAGTTAGTTTTTGTAAAAAAGTTGCTATTTTAAATCCCTCCCAATGAGCAGGTTAAGTGTTAGATTTTCAAAAAAATGATAACAAATGAAAAGAAATTACATAAGGTTTCAATATAAAAAAATATTATTTTGATTTGTTAATATTTGAAAAAGTTATGGCAGTTTTAAGTACAAAAAACATCCCGATAGAAGATGATTTTTATCGCAAACATTACATTTTTTTTAAATTTCGACAGCCATTTGCACATTGAAGATAAGGTTTCGGGACAAATTTTTTTTTTCATTTTATAGTATATAACATAACCTTTGATTTGATATATGTTTAAAGGACGCAGTATTTTCGGAACATTTTCAAAAGTTCAGTTGAAAAAGATCTATGTTTTTTACAATATTTCAAGTTTTGAACGCCCCCTATATAAGGGGAATTTATCCAATTATAATAAAAATTATGTCAAATGAAAGATGTACTTATAATGTAGTTAGAAAAAAAAATTTGTGCTGATAATTACATTTTTCGAAAAGTTATAACATTTTTAAGTTGAAAATTTAAAATCGAAAATCGAAAATTTTAACACAAAAATAGCGTTTTTTTAACTACGGCAGCCGTTTACATGCAGAAGATAAAGTGTCGGGACAAATTTTTTTTTTCATTTTGTAGTACATAAAATAAGCTTTAATTTGATATATGTTTAAAGGACGCAGTAATTCCGGAACATTTTCAAAAATTAAGTTGAAAAAGTTAGTTTTTGTAAAAAAGTTGCTATTTTAAATCCCTCCCAATGAGCAGGTTAAGTGTTAGATTTTCAAAAAAATGATATCAAATGAAAGGGAAATATCTAAGGTTTTAGTATAAAGAAAAATTATGTTGATTTGTTTATTTTTCAAAAATTTATGGAAGTTTTAAGAGAAAAAAGTGAAAAAAATGACAAAATTTACCGATTTTTAAATTTGTAATTTTTTTGGATATCTCCCCCATTTGCGGGGAACGAGGGAAAAATCTTCAATTTTTGAGGGTAATGTCTTCAACTAGATACGATTTGTGATCTTTTGATGTATCGTTGAAAGAAATCGGTCCAGTGAGAGCTGAGAAAAAGTGGCAACAGATACAAAAAAAAACACATCATGGTAAAATTAATACCTTCTCAGCTTCGCATCGAGGCTAAAACAAAATTAAACAGAAAACAAAAACATTTTGATAATTCGTTTAAATTTACAATAGATTTTTGAAAAATATAACTACGAGCAAATCAGTATTTATCATTTTAATAACTATGTGAAGGAAATCCTCACATATGTGAGCTAAATTGCTGAATTAATGTTAGCGTGGGTAGTGGAGTAGTTAATCTCTTCACTACTTTATGTTCTAAAAGCTATCTTAATCCCCACACAAAATTACTATATACTCCACTGCTTCAAACATCTTATATATTTTTATTTTTTCAATTTTTGTAAATGTTATAATCAGCTAGACAGTAATGACTAATAAGTTAAAAATTAAAATACTTATTTAAATTTGTAGTAATAATATACTTTCTACATAGATACATCAATAAAATAAAATTTAGCACAGTGGGGTTACAGTATAGTTTAGATAAATTTAGATAATATCTGTAAGTGATTAACTTCATTATCATAAAGAATTCTTCCATGTCAATCTTTTAAATTTTATAATAATTTGTTTATTTGTAATTTTATAGTACTGTAACAAATTTGAAGTATTATAAACAGGTAAATTATGACAAAATACAATTGAAAAACTGAAAAATAGTAAGACAAAATAACTTAACTTTATAGTTGAAACCTATTATCATATCATATCCTAGTCAATAATGTATACTCTACAAACATTAAAAAAAATATATTTTATTTATTTATATGAAGATCGATAGCTGAGAAGTTTTGTAATTGATATTTGTTTAGCCATATAATGTTTAAACATATAAAACTCTATTAATATTTGTTCATTCATAACTTATAAATGAACAGTTATGAAAGTTTCGACTTATAACATTTCGACTGATATATCATGGAATATGAACCACTGGATTTTTGGAGTAATATATATTGAGCTTTATGAGTGTTATATAATGGATCAAATGTATCCCACCATAGTTCATAAACATATTTGATGATAATTTAATAAATCTATATAAAGCTAAATTAAATTTGAAATCTTTTTAAGTACTATACAATTTAAAAAAAAAGACGTTCCGACAACTTTATTATTAGTATTCTAATAAAAAAACATGTTTTCGACTGATTATAATCAATCTTAAACTAAAAATAATACATGAATCAAATTAAAATATGCAGTAGTATTATTTAAAACAAGAATCTTACTTTTAACATATTTTTTTGAAAATCCTACCATTAGCCAAAAATAATGTTAGGGTGAATAATTATTAAATCAAATTCTTTTATTTTCAATTTTTTAAATAATTATCCAAAAATCTTACTTTCTTCAAATCTACATTAAATTAAAACTAATATAATGTACTAAAGATAAAAAATTAACAACTTTGTAAATTTAAAAAATCTGAAATTTTGGTGTATAAAATTTTAAAGTTTTTAAAGCAAAAATATATTTTAATTCTCGGACAAAATTTCCAATTTTATAATGTTTTGCATAGAAACGGAATATTTATATAATTAAAAATTAAATTTCGTTCAATGTAATTTATGATTAACAAAAACTACTTGTGACTTTTGTAAGTAATCAACCTTCAGTGTCTTAAACCATGTAATTTTTAGTAGAAAAGCGTTTTACGACAATAATTTTAACCACAGTCAATATTAATTAAACTAATCTAAAAGATGTTTATATTCTACTTAACTGGATCTCTACTGTATTTCACTATTTTTATAAATATAGCAATTTATAATTTAAAAGTTTAAATTACATGGTTTAGCTGAATATAAATTTTATTTATAAAAAATTATTATTATATTTTTTTATATATTGACATTATTATAAGTGCAAATCATATAAATTTTTGGAGGAATTTATTATATGTGATTTTGCCTTCTCTATTTTTTTTTAATTTAATCATACATGTATTTTTTTTAATTTTGGAGTGACTAAGTCCTTCTAAGTTCCCTCAATTTGTCCCTATCAGCAATTAATGAATAATTATATAAAATCAGGATAGATACTAAGATTTTATTTAAATACTTCGAGCCCGCATGATTGAGATCCTGATCAGCCTCAGGGACTATAACTGGTTGCTGTAATAAATTTAGGAGAAGATAATATGAAGATTATTCCATGCAGCGACGTATGTAACGGGTAAGCTAATACAATGGATGGATATAGTATATTAATATATTAACACGTTGATGGACAAAATCATATATTACTGTTATGGCAGTAATATTTTCATTGATTTTATTATGAAGGAGGAAGTTGTTCTGACTCAATGCATCTCATAAAACCAGTGGGCACTCTATTTTTAGCTAAACCATGTCATTAACTGTCCATCAACGTGTTAATATAACTATTAATAGTTAAATTGTATAAATAAGTTGCGCTTAAGCTATCTAAATAACATAATTAAGGTAGCTTAAGTGAATTTTTTTTATAAGAATTAACAATAAATGTGGTGTTAAGCATCTCCCTTATTGGTTGTGCTAAACTAAAATTATAAATGAAAACTAAAAAAATATTAGTCTCCATTGAAAATTTTGGTTATGTCATATAATTATGTGTTTTTCTTGGTCTTTATCTCAACTATTTGAAATCAGCCACCCTTATCTTTAACTTCCAGCATATATATACAGGGTGGCCCACCACTCACTGACAACTTAAATAACTTTTGATCCAGTTAATATTTTTAGTTGATTTTTTTTTTAAATAATATTTATACGTTAGGTCTATAGCTATATCTCAATAATTAATTTTTTTACATTTTATTAAAAATATTAATTATTTTAAAATTTTAAATAAAATGTAAAAAAAAAATCTAAGATAGCTATTTTGTAGAGTAGAATTTAAGAAAAATTTTAGTAAAAAAATATCTTATTAATATTCAGTAGTAAATATTCTGTAGCGTTTTGAAGTTTGTAAAAATTTGAATTTTCATGTACTATTTTACGGTTATAAACATTGAAATACGTATTGAGAAAAGGACAGAAGAAAACGCTATCTTTTCATGATTACTGTGTATACATATGATGATAGTGTGTATACATTACAAACTTGGCATAAATACCATGATAAGAAATTAGATAAGGCAATTATTACTTATCACTCTCATTCAAAAGTATATTGAAAAGATAGCGTTTTCTTCTGTCCTTTTCTCAATACGTATTTCAATGTTTAATACCGTAAAATAGTACATGAAAATTCAAATTTTCACAAACTTCAAAACGCTACAGAATATTTACTACTGAATATTAATAAGATATTTTTTTACTAAAATTTTTCTTAAATTCTACTCTACAAAATAGCTATCTTAGATTTTTTTTTTACATTTTATTTAAAATTTTAAAATAATTAATATTTTTAATAAAATGTAAAAAAATTAATTATTGAAATATAGCTATAGACCTAACGTATAAATATTATTTAAAAAAAAAATCAACTAAAAATATTAACTGGATCAAAAGTTATTTAAGTTGTCAGTGAGTGGTGGGCCACCCTGTATATATATATATATATGCTCTAACAATAGTTTAGTTTTAGGCTAATGAAAATATAAATGTATTAGAGTAATTAATTTAAATCAATTTATGTACATTTATAATATAATAATAGATAGTGTCGGCTACATAATATCATGTATAATATGATCGACGAGTATAACAACCATAGCAAGAAAAATGTTGTTTTATTATTTTTTTTTTGCTTGTCAATAAAAAAAGATTATACATTTTTCTTTACAGGTCACCAAAATAATGTATGGCCGGGTTACTGGAGGGCCTATGCTTTTACTGCTTATATATAACAAATGAAATGAGGTATTTAATAAACATTTTAGTGATTTTATAGAGTATAAATAGACGGTGTTATAATTTTATACTACGTCAACTATAAATAAATTATTTAAACGTCATAGCCGACGGTTGTTCAGTCTTTGATTAATTAAAGAAATAATTATAAATCAGAGAAATAATTTATCTGAAGAAAGGATTTTTTACAAAAACTTATCTTTTAAAGTACAGATTTCTATTAATCATCTTAAAATATTTTAAGCGGAAGTCTTATTATTGAAATTTCTTCAACTTTAGTTACAATAATAATTTTTGAAAATAATTATTTATATTAATTATTGATTATTGTAAAAATAATTGAACTTGGAAATTATTATTTTTAATTTTTTTTAAATGACTTTTAACATTATATGTTAAGGACTATGAGATCATATTTATTAACTTAAAAATAAAAATGTAGGAATATTTAAAGGTACCCTAATTAATATACCTTTGGAATGTAGCCAATGGTATTTAAGATTTTTAAAATTGGTACTTTAGTATAAAATATATTTTTTAAATGTAAATATATAAAATCATTTCGGTCTGAAGATTTTTTATAAATTATTTATCCGACCTATTATTTTGTTTCCTGACAAACTAATAACCGTATTGTATTCATAGAGGCGTATATAGAAATATGTTTATTATATTTGTTTAGTTAATATATTAACCTGCAAAACATTTATCGAGCCCGGCGTATTTACTATCAGTACTCCTATCGGAATCAGTAGCCTACTTACGAGGATGGCCCAAAGAGGCTTATGCGCCGAAGTCTCGTGAGGTCGGTAGGATCTTAGCTAGACGAAGCGTAGTCTAAAACAGAGGTTCTCAAAGTCAAATGAATCACTGACCCCCATCTAAAGACCTACAGTTTTAAAGACCTAACCCTGATATGTGCTCGCGGACCCCTGGGGGTCCGCGGACCACACTTTGAGAAACTCTGGTCTAAAATATCTTCCCTGAACAATTATTTTGAATAAAAAAAACAAAAACATAAAACTTTATGATATACGCGTGTATTTAAATTTTGTAGGCTACTAAAAAATGAAGCATAGAGTAATATCGATCAATATAATGAGAGCGACCGATCATCCACCCTGCAATTATTTTTTGAATAATACAAAAATAATTGTATTAAAGTTGTTATCGTAAACTTGGCTAAATAGTTAGTCTTTTTTATTTTAAGATATCAATGATTCTACTAAATACAGAAAATTGCTGAGGACATTTGTAACAAATGGTGTTTTTATAAATAGGAATTAATTATTTGTTATTTCAGTACAAATAATTTTACTAAAGCGCAACAANAATTAATTATTTGTTATTTCAGTACAAATAATTTTACTAAAACGCAACAAAGTTGACACCTATGACGTAAATCATCTTTTGGTCCACCCCACCGTCTTATTTTAATGGTAATGTAATATTTCACAATTTGGCAATTTTCATATATTTTTTCATTCATCCGGATTTAAATAAACATAATAAAATTTAAAAAAATTGTTATAACTGAATTGTGCTATAATTTAAATTGTATAGAATATCTATACTTCAATAATTTAGCTTTTGTATTATTTCTTAGACAGCCCATGTCTGATGATCGAACGTGTAACCGCGTGGTAACTGGTTATATTTGAGTGGTATCAGTATCCCCTCTTTGGCTCATCACCCATTGTGTATCAGCTGATCTACCGCCAGCACAAGTACCGTCGCCGCCGTCATTATCTCATGTCCGTGTGGGTCGTTCGTAATCGTGCGCGTACGTGCATCAGCACAGCCAGCGTTGGATAGTATTGTTATTTATTATTATTATTTTTGTAATCGCAGGGTATAGTAACTTCGTTTTTCCTCCGTCGCGTGTTACACAGCGTGGAAACGTTTGGCTGCGGTCTCCGTTGTCGTGTTTTCATTACCGTGTGCCGTGGACGTGTGTGAACAGTGATTAGCCCAGCCTTAGACTCTGAGTTAAGAAATAGAATCTGCCACTAGTGTTGCAAATCTACGTTTTTATTATCACATCGACTATGCAAATGAGAAAAGCATGTCGTTCGTGGTTGTTATTGCAACTTTCATCCACTGTTGACACAGTGAAATTAATGATGTTCGTTGGTTTTTGACGACCGACTATTTTTTCGAGTATAGAAAATAGGTAAGCTTTGGTGACCCATTACCACAATTTCATCTTTATGCTAATAATTTGTGCGAATTAAATAAAAAAATCCTGACTAGTTTATTACCTCAGTCCTCCTTAGTTATTGACTATAAAAAAATTATTAAAGTCCTATTAATTATTATTATTTAATTTATGACATTAAGTTACGTAAATGGAAACTTGTCAAAAGTTAGGTCAACTTGTATGAAACTTTATATAACTTTTATTTAATGTGTACTTTTATAAATATTTTTAAAATCATTTAAACTATCTAATTGAACTTGCAATAATATGTATAAAAGAAAATAATTAGGGTTGTGTTATAAATTGTGAAGTTATTGATTTAAATAATAGATATTTAATTTCCTCAATCATTTTACTAATACCAATTTCTTTTCTCTTTTAAATTTTTTATTTAGTTAATTACAATATTTATATTTTTTTTCAGATGGAGTAAATTTTATTAGTTTCGACAAATTATAATAATATAATTATAAAACAAGAACTATAAAATATGGCTTTAGTTATTTCAATTGATATAATTTTTTTGAGCTTATTATAAAATAAAAAATCTCAATATGGAAAATAGAAGATCATGGAAGGGACAGTTGTCTTTAAAAGAGTCTGACCATCGCCGCTACTCAGATTCAGAAGAACCAAAAAGCAAATCATCAGTGTCTAAAACTTCAGGTAAATTTAAATAATTTTATGTTTAGTTTTTCTGTAATTGATAATGTTAGTATTGTTTTAAGTTACTTAAAAAATGTTATTTTTTTAAAAAAATATTTATATAATACATTTTATACTTGTTATGTAAAGTAAAATAACTTTTTAACAAATATAATTGTTGAAATTTTATATATTTATTAGAAAAAAATAGTATTACACATTTATATTTTACATTGCAATAAATGTAGTGTAGCTTTTAAAGTCAAGTTTATGTGGGAATTCATTATAAGTTTAAACTTATAAGTAAATGAAATAGTTTTAAGAAGTTATTATGATGTATTCATATTTATATATCCTCTATTATTAAGATTCCTTTATTTAATTACCTAACTAGCATTTTTTTACATTAAGCTTATTAAGTTTTTCACCTTTGTGCTAATATTTAGCTGTACTATTTGCTATTATCTTAAAATTATTTAATGACACATACCTTTTCCCTATATTAGTTCCCTCAGTCATAATAAAGTTGCACCAGGACAGTGCCGGTGTAAAATTTCATCAAATTGTTATTGGCAGAGCCAAAACCAATTAGTTGAGATAAAGTTATGGTGATTATGATAATGTCTAAAACTAATGTTTACTATAAAAATTACATGTTAATATTTTTGTTTCTAAGTATTCTATCTTAGTATAAAGTTCATACTAAAGGGTATAATGAACCTAATCCTTTAAATCTAATTATAAAACACTTATGATTAGAGTTTTAAAATTCTATAAAGTTTATCTTTGTGAAATATTTTACAAATTGTTATGAAATATTTCATTTGGATGAAAAATATTATTATTAAAATATTTTGACTATTGATGTATAAAGTTTGAATGTATAGTGTAGCAATGTGTACAGTAAAAAAAATCAGTTTTTTTGTTATCAAAGACAAATAATAAAATATATGCTTTTAACATAATCTAAAACTTTTAAAGTTATTAAAAAAAAATTAATACAAAATATTTGCTTGATTAAAAATTATTAAAGATGTCAGACATAGTTGCATAGCATATCTGTATATTATTTATGTTTCCCCATTTGTATTACTTAACTATACTAACTAGTAATTCAAATTTATTTACTTAATTTTTGTATAAATCATTTTTGTTTTTAATTATTTGAATCAACTGTAATACTGCAAAATTTATATAACAGTACTTATCTGATAAACGTTCTTAGTTACAAATTCAGTAATTCATAAGAATGACTAAAAACTAGTGTCATTTGCAATACCACTCTATTAAAAATTTCCCCATCCCTAAATTTTAGTAATATAATAATTTATGTAATATTTCTGAAATTTTGTTGGGGCTAAGCCCCTCTAATTTTTGCCTATGTATTTGCCTCTCCCATAAAAGCTTGGCCATATAGATAGGTTTGATAACTTGGCTGTTTGCTCCCGGGAAATAATAGCACATTAAACTAGTCGATTTTTCAGACTTATTTTTATGGCCGGCCGTGTATAGAAGGAAAAAAACATATTTTTCAAAATTTCAATGTAATATTTTACGAGGCGTGAAATTTTCAATGTTGAGAAATTGTAGATGAAAAGTTTAAACCTTATGATTATTATAATATAATATATATAGAATTATTATGTGCACATTCAATGTGTATGGTATAGCCTGATTGAGCGCTTAATTTTGAGATTCTATTGACTTGATCATATAAAAAAATCGATAATTAAATTGTAATCGATTTAGTTCAAACATTTATCCTTTGAATTGATTTTTCAACAAAATTTTTCTTTTCTTTCCCACTATGATAACATTCTTGTATTCAATTCTCCATCCGTGTTTTTTTTAAGTTTTCGATTCTTGTATCTTAAAAATAAATGTTGTAGTTTTTATAGAATTGATTTGCTATTTGAAATATACAATATCGAAATAATATTTTTCAAATTGATATTGTATTATTTTCATAAATTAATTTCAAAAATATTCATTAAGGTTAATATACTCTTTTTCCACTATTAAATTGTCTTGGACTTTATTTGGGCTATTGGTAATCCACACCCATGAATCTCTCATTATGCAGGTATTTATAAATTTACTATGGCTGGCTATTCTACCGATGGAATTTAAAACTCGAAACATACTATTTTAGGCTATGGGCCAAACGTTCCGAAAAAGTGTTAAGGTAAATTTGTATTAAGGTTGTCCCTACTCAGTATGTTGTTTATCGGTTATGTTTAGCTAAAAGTTTAATGTTTATAATTATGTGGATAGTAGAGGACTTTAATCCGACATGGGTTAGTTAGTCAATTAAGTAATGTGCCAGAAGATCCAAAAATGTTTTTGACACTTTAGACTTGTAGATTATGACATATTTTAATTACTTTCCTTTTATTTATGATTACTTATTTAAGTTATTGAAGATATAATGGATGAATATTTGTAAAAATCGATCGTGTAGTTATCGGTTGTTAATGTATTCATTATTAGATCACCAAAGAAATAATGTCTAATCACCAAGATAGTCCAATAATTATAATGGATTTTATTAAGTTCTAATTCATGTAAACTATCATTATTATTTTCTTTGTTAAAATATTGAAAATGAAGTTGAAATAACTTGAATACTTGTTTTTATTCAGTTTTGAACTGTTAATCAATGTTCTCTACTTCATTTTCTACTCTATTCATGAAGAAATATAGTCTATTGGTTCAATACAAAGTTCAATTAATTATACACGGAGAATAGAAAATAACGTCTAGCTTTATAGTTACAATATTGATTTTTTAAGTATTATGTAAAAATATTAAACTGCCATGCTTAAATAATTAAAGAAGTCAGGTACGATAATTTATCCAGAATAATGTTGAAATTTGTAAATAAAAAACTTAATAATTTAAAAGCTGTATTCAATCTCTACTAATCTTTAAACACCAATTATAATTGGTGTTTATTGCCACGTTCATTTTTAGTGTACTTTAATTACACAGTGTATAAATATTAAATGTATTTATGTATTTTTTTCCAAGAAATTTTAGTTTAACAACACTAGGCTTTAACAATATTTTTTTCTATTATAGAATATTATTTAGATTAGTTATAGATACATCCATGTCTTCAGTTTCGTGCTGAAGTTTCAAACTCGCTGCAGAATTCAAAATGTTAGCACAAAACTGAAAATTTGGATAAATCTGTAAATATTGTAACAAATACAACAATTCATGAATGCGTTAAGCATTTATATTACAGAATATTTTTGAGCATGGTGCAAAAAATGTCGAGGTTATTATTGGCGATTTTTACATGAGTTATCAGCGATTTATGAAACTTACAATCTTAACGAAGAATAAACAATAGTCTATCTTGCCTAAAATAATCTCGTAATTTATTTCTCTAGATAATATTTCTTTATAGCGTGGGTGCATTCTGAACTGTTTTATACATTGTTGTTTGTAAGTTCGTTAGACTTAAATTATAAAAAAAAATTATAACACTGTTATCTTTTGATTTATGGATAGTTAACACCATTGTACTTAATTTTCATTATATTAATTTTCAGTCTTTAAGTTATTCGTCTTAACGCTTGCCGTTTCCATATATTAATGATTTCTTTTAGCTTAGATTTATAAATTACATGTTTTTTATTGTGTAAGTACAAGTTTATTCGTTTTGTAATCTTTATCATTGCTTTTCTACGTATTTTCAAAAAAAAAAACTCCTTTAATATTTAATATATTATGTGTTGTATCAGTTGTTTTGATGTTTTATTTAATCGTTCAACATTCATAGTTGATTTAAAAAATGTAAGTGTGTTCCACAATCAAACTTAGTTCAGTTCTTACTTGGTATTCATTATTTATTTATTTATCCATAGTAATCTAGTTGTATAAACACCGTTTTGATAGCTATAGGTCATAATACAAATGTTTTATGTTATTATTCGATATCACTGTTTTCGGTTAATAACATGTCTTATCTACTCGTTTTTCTAAATCGATGTACGCTAATCTGATGAATAATATGTACACTTAATTCTCTACGCTAATTGAGAGCCCAGTAGCTAAAGGACGTAAATCCGAAAAAAATGTTTTTTGTGATTTTGTTTTTCTTGACGAATTAACTTGTAAGTGAATAGGAAATAACAAAATAAAAAAAAAAAATTATTGTACATTTTACATAAATTTGTATAAAAACGAAACCTTATATATTTATATGTGTAGATATTTACTAGTTAAATTGTTACTTTCATTAGTTTGCATAAATTATTATGTTTCTTTCAAAATCATTTAATCTTGCAAATCATTTTAATGTATACATGGAATCCTTTGACTAGTTTAAAGATAATGAATAATTAGGACATCGCATTTAATTGTTAAGAGAATATTAGGGTTGGTGATTTAAGATGATATTATTGTAGATAAACTTGAAAGTTTGTATCCATTAGTTCAGTAAAAATTATATTAATCATTTTTAATAAAGACTAATTACAATTTTTTAAATTATCTGATTATTTCTTTGAACCTTACTAGAAGGTATTCAATTTAAATGTAATATTATTCATAGTATTAACAATAGGATATATGTTAATTACATGTTGTAATTCTTAAATGAAGGTAAAGAATATTTGATTGAAGGTAATATGTTTGGTGAAATGTTTGCTAATTTAGTGGTAGTAAAAATACTTTTAATTTGGCTAAGTTTAGACGTAAAGACTTTAATAAAAGTGATTTATTTAATTTTATTACTGTAAACATTTTTTTTTGTTTTATTCAGGGTTATTATTAAAAATTAAAAAAAAAATTTTATGGTGCATTTTAAACATTTTCTTTTAAATTGGAGAAAATTTTCATTACCTTAAAGTTTTACCTCAATCCGTTTAATTATAAGATTTAACAAAAATGAATCATTAAACATCAAACTTGAGTATTAATTTTACTATTTATTAAACAAAAAATGAATTACATTAAATATACATATATTATTACAATAAAAACTATTTTAATAAAAAAGTTATTAGTTAAAGGTCATATTTTTTTTTATTTATACAATTTGTGTGTACGAATATTCAAAGTTGTGCAAGTCGAAGGATACTAGCAGTTATTATATTGGTTATATTTTATCTGTTAAACATAATAATCTATGTTTAAAATTAAGTAAATTAGTACTTATTACACGTTAGTTTAAATATATTTACTTATTCGATTAATGAACTAAATTTGAGACAGGTAAAGTACTAAATTAAAAAATATATATCTTCTGTAACTTTTGTGAAGATAAAGTTATTTTTTGATAACTGAAACTTGAAATCTGTTATTTTAAGTTCTAGTGAATCAAAACATTTAATTATTTCTTGGGAAGTGACGATCACTAATTTAATATTCGTTTGTAATGCATTGATGTACTAAACTACATTGTCCATATTTTTTTTTTTTTAATAATATCGATTTGTTTTTGTATTGTTATTACTTATTATTGTCAATTGCTGTAAAACTTAGTTTCAAGATTATTATAAAATAAAGGTTTATGTAACTAGTTTTTATTTTTTCATTAACTAATGATATAAATTTTGTTTAAATAATGATTGAAAAAAATAATCAAGTATAAGTTATTGGTTCTTTCACGTGTGTATCATTTATGGTATAACTGTGTTTTAAACTCTGTATTAAAAAGTACTATTGCCAAGTTAAACAGAACGAAATCTATGTCGCCAGTAGAACGTTAATATTCATTATCGATCGTCAATTTGGCAAATAGATAAACGCAGACTCTGCTTGAGGTCATGTATTGGCAATATGTTACGGTTTTTCCTTGAGGCCCTTCAACTATTCTTTCATTCATTCGCATGTTTGTATTTTGAATACAATTTATATGTATTTATTTATACATTTTCCACTTAAGCACGCACGCGTTGACGTTATTCGTGGATGTATTGAGATAAATAGTTTATATTTGTGTTTATTGGCCATCATGATATTTTACCTTTGAAAAGAAATTATTGTGTATTATTTTTTAATCTATTTGCTGTAGTAAGCTAGCAGTAACATCTGTTTTACTACTGAATAATATTACTACTAACTAATGTTTTATATTAATGTACTGTTAAAAGTTGTAATATGTCTTGTGTCACTTCTGAATTTTTCCTGAAAAGGTGAAGATTTTAAGATCAAAATATTTTAATTAACCATTAATCTTTATTCTCGGTTAAATAGAGAGGTTTTTTGAAGACAAAATCTAAGAAAATATTCTATTATTATAAGCTATGTCTAATTACTTATTGATTAATAATGTGTATTTAAGAATTGAGCATTCATTTTGATTGAAATTTAATTATGTATAATGTTATAAATCACTAGTTATGTATACAGTTAATATCTTACTATCTTTTTTTCAGTGGCATAGCCAAGGAAGGGAGGGGGATAATGGGGTTACAGCTCCTCTATTGCTAAATTATTATTTTTAAGCCTGTATGACTTAGACAAGAGTACGTAATAAATGAAAAAAAATCATTAGCACCTCCCAAAAAATTCTGGCTACTCTATTGCATTTGTTGTTTGTTATTAATTGAAGATTACGTTATAAGTTGGTTTTCAACAGAAATAAATAAATGAAACTTAATGAGACAAAACTATGATTATTTCTTTTAATTAGCAATCTTTAATTATCTAAAGCTGCACGTCATTGGAAGTGAAGTTTTATAAGCATTTCTGATACGTTAATCTCATCTTGGCTCTTAATATGTATTAATACATGAAGATCATGTAATTTGAATTCATCGAGACGTTACAACGGGTATATTGTCATCGCACCTATCATGAATAATCTATAATAGTCATTGAATCTGTATATGATATACTAATATATTTTTATTTTGATAAAACTAGCCAAATAACCAAAGGTTTGTATTCAGTTATACGAATTTCATTTTATAATAATATTATTAGTTAATCAAAGTTCAAAGATCATAAAATGTATATAAACAAAATTATTTCTTTAAAATTACGTCAGATCAACACTCTGGATTTTCTGTCTTCACGAATATATTTTTTTTACTACATTAAAAAATTTAATTCATGTCTATGATGCGATACAATTATTTTAAAAATTGTCTTATCGGTAGACTATTGTAATAAAAATATTGTTTGTATAGTCTCCCACGTTTAGTTTGAATCCTTCCGTTCAACTGTACCTTCGCGTAAGTTTCACACGGCATTTAAATTGGCATAGATCTTTTTTTATTCATTAATTTATTGTGACCTCATGCAAATGTTTATATTAGTTTGTTTACTTTTGTATACATATGTTTATAGTATTCTAAAGTGAAGTTGAGTATAATCAAATCACGACCCGGTCATAAAACTATACACAATTAGGGTCTTTTAGTAAATCATGATATTCTGTTATATTTATTTTTTGTCACGAAAGAAGTTCCATTAAATTTCAATGATCAAATTTAAGAAAATGTACTTTCTCTGTTTATCATAAAAATCAATATTAACTTAATTATTAACTTGTATAACCTTTCAATTTCAATTATTTAAACGTGTTGTGACTTGCAAGTATAGTTACAAGATTTTATGAATTAAATTATTGTTCTTGGGGTTGATGTTTTGTCTTAACTTTTTAAAATGTGAATACACATTTTATCCATAGATAAAAATGATACGTTTTCACTTTTGTCACAACTAAATTATTAACAGGGTAGTATTTAACATTATAAGTCAGGGACAGCTATTGTACTATAAATTGTGGAAGTGTTTTGAGTAAAAAATATTTTACTATTGCCAATAATGTTATATGAACAAACGGTAAATGCAATTGGTTAAATATTGAAATACTTTTAACTTATAAAATACTCTTAATTTAGACAAATCATATTTTTAGCTTCGACGCAAAGCTGAGAAGGTATTAATTTTACCATGATGTGTTTTTTTTTTTTGTGTTTGTTGCCACTATTTCTCAACTCTCACTGGACCGATTTCTTTCAACGATACTTCAAAAGATCACAAATCGTATCTAGTTGAAGTCATTACAATTTAAAATTGAAAAAAATTTCATCATTCCCCGTAAACTGTAGTGTCTCCCCTCTTGAGAAAAATTTCTTATTCATATTAAAATATTTTACTATATGGTTTTTTTTTGTGACTGTCGTTAATTTTTCTCATTTCTCACTTAACCAATTTTAATGACCAATACGTTAAAAGAACACGATTTTAATCTTATTGAACTCATAATTATCAATTATTGGAAAAATTCCTTTAATTTTAGAAATTCAGACAAATATCTCAAAAAGACCCTATTGTAAAAATGGCCACTTCAAAAAAACCTTTTTTTAATTAAATATCTCCTAATTAATAATAGTATAAAATTTGTTTTTATACTAAATTACACAGAAATAAAATTTTTTTTATTGATTATAGACCAATATATATTTTATTAAAACAAATTTTTATACTAATTTCAAGTTTGAAATTAGATTTTTTCTATCACCTCTTTTTTGAGATTATTACCAATTAAAAATACATGAAATAACCTATCAATTTTTTAAAATTAAACACTATCTACAGATTTGCATTGAAGCATTTCTTACGATAGTAAATTTAATCACTGTCAGATATCATCTATATTCGTCCCAATTATGCCACGTCCACACTGTGCTACCTTTTTTGTAAATATAATTGTTAATATATTTCTGTTTCATTTATGAAATGGTTTATTTTTTATTATAATATTCATTCCAAAATTATTTAGCATAGGCACGCTAAAGAGATAAATACGCCATATATACAATATGTGTGTATAAATATGAAAAAATATTTAATATTTGTTTAATTATTAAAGTATTTTGACTATTCTACACGATAGTATAATTTATGATACAAATCTAAAACAAATTAGATAATTAGTTTCAATGTTATACATTTTTTTTAATGTCATAGTCAATTACTCAATGTTCATGTTTTACTGATTTATTAACATTTTTTTCATTGGTTAGATCATTTTACAAAAAAAAAAAATGAATTCTCCAATAATCCAAGTTATGATATTTTTTATTAATATGATCTACAAAACTAGTATTACAATTACCCCAGTACACAAATATACTAGGATAAGTGTGAACTCGAATTTAAATAAATTATATTATTTAATTGTTAAAATATATATTATGTAATAAGTGCAATTAATTGTTTAGTTAAAATCAATTGTATAAAAAAATCAATATTTGACCATATAACCAAACAGTATCAAATTTTTACAAGCAAGTAATAAATAATTATGCTACGTGATACTTAATAACCCTATTTTAGCAGCGTTACTACTAGCATAAAATTTTTTCTTGTGAATAAATGTCATCACATCCATATTTGCAGCAGAGATACACTTACCCATATCACCTTATTTTATTTTTTCTTACAAAATTAAAAAAAAATGATCAAATTTACTTGGGGGCGCTAATGTTATCCTAGGGAGTGCTAAGTAGACAAAGCATTCCCTTATTTGTGCATATACTAATTAAATAAGTTAAAAAATAAATAATTCTTATAAATGTTTTTGTATTTAAAATGTAATATTTTTTGTTGAAATAATTTCTATTATTCCATTATTGTTTCAGAAGTTTCAAATTTGGTTTTGATGCGCAACAGTACTCTAGGACAGTCAGCTCCTTTATTATCAAATAGTTTGGTAAGATTATAATAGAGAGTGATTGATTAAGTATAAGACACTCACTTTCTTAAAGACTATCAAACATTTTTAATTTTTCTAACAAAAAAATTTACAATAATGTGAAGTTAATAATTTTTTTTTTCGTTCATTTAAGTTTAAAAACCTTAATTTTTTCTTTAATAAGAATAATTCATAAATAAAAAAATTTTGTTATTTATAATAATATAGTTTTTATAATATTTTTCATACAGTGAACTATTTTTCTGTTATTGCTTGTCAAAGTTTTGCAATTTTAAAATCGTTTGTAATTTTTTACCTATCATTATTATTAAACCAGATATTTCTATTAAAGATTTAAAAATCATTTAACTTGTACTATTTACAATTTATATAAGTTACAATTAAAGATAAGTTTTTCCAATTGTATTCATATTCTTTTTAATTCAATTTGAATTAATAATTTATTTTTATAATTTTAATGGCATATATTTCTGTAGAAAGAACTACATGTTGCTGGATGTGGAAGGCGCTCAAATAAAGCTAATCATCGTAAAAGTTTTATATCAAACACATCTCCAACATTACCTAGATGTCATTCTCCAATGTCAAGTAAGTGTTACTAAAAAAATAATAATTATTTTGAGTACTTTATTTTTAATCATTTTTATGTATGTTAGGCAGTCCACTGGAAAGTCCTAAAGTGGTACATTCTCATCCTCATTTTCCGTTTGCATCAATCAAAAGGTATTGTACATATTAATCTTATATATAATTTCTGATGCTTGAGTATAAAATATTCAATCTACAAAGAAGAAAAAAAATTTTATTTTCAAATAACTACTGCTAAAATTTTATAAATAACTGTATTTATATTTTTAATTTTTTGAGGTTGGGTGGATTATTTAGTTGCCTTTTAGAATTGATGTTTAGATGAGCTGTTTGCTGTTGGTTCCAGGATGGGTAACCAAACAGGAACTTAAACAGTTATACACACTTAACTCCTTATTGGCTCTCTCAGTCATAATAAGGTTGTCTTTGGTCAACAGCTAGTGTATTAATCTTGTCAAATCATTGTAAGTTAGTCAACCCCTCCAAAAAACTAGAATAGAAGCTAAGGAGATGATAGCGATCTGCATATATATTTTTTAATTTCTTTGGAAGGAAAGAGATTACTTTTTTAAGGAGAAACTTGGATTATGTTACTAACATACATAATTTGTCTAGTGTAGTTATTTTAAAAGCAGTAAATTTGTTTCTCTATTTGTATATAAGGCTCTCTTTTAGACCCTAGCCTTTGATTTTAACTTTTATACCTTTGTTTATTTTTGACGTTATTTAAATTTTTATTATATTATATTTTTATAATTATTAAACCTTTTTTTTATTTTTAGGCCCTATAATTTGTTAACAACAGAATGTCGTGATGGAAGGAGATGGTCTGTTGCATCATTACCATCATCTGGATATGGAACCACATCTGGAAGCTCTAATGTATCAGTAAGCGTAAAAGCTACCCAAAGTTGTGGAACTTTTTACAGTACAGATATTATTGATTTCCAGTCTCAATGTTCCAGTCAAGAGAGATTACATCAACTTCCAAATATGCCAACTTCAGATGAACTAAATATGTTTTCTAGGCATTTTTCTTCAAATGACAGTAATCATAGTCACAGTGCAGAAGAGGATAATATTATATACAGGAAGCCTCAGTTTAGTAGACCTCGATCAAGAAGTTTAAGGTTCATTTTAATTATTTTATTTGTCGTTTAAAAAATGTATAAGATTTTATCTTAATCAACTATCTTTGTATTGATAGTCCTAGCAGATCTCCCATTTTTGATAATGACATTGTTACAATGAATGTACTATATAAAGATAGATTTCCCAAGGTAAACCATTATTTATTATTTTATATTAATTTAATCTAAAACTTAATTTAATAATATGTAGGCTACTCATCAGATGGAAGAACGTTTAAAAATGTTCATCCAAGAATATGAAAAAATTAATTTAGATTATTTGGATATATCTGGTGATGCTATACCCATTGTTCGTTTTGTTAATCATCAAATTTTAGAAATAGCTAGAGATTGTTTAAAAAAATCTGAAGAAAAATTAATAACACGTGGTTATTTTTATGAAATGTCAGAAAATCTGGAATTGTTGTTGGCAGAGGTATAATTTTTAAACTGCAATTCAATTTTTTTAAATTGATTTAACTACATTAATTATATAAATTAGGCAAAGGAAAAATCTGAAGAAGCTGCAGAATTGCTTACTGGAACAATGAAAAAACTTTTATTGATTATTTCCCGCCCAGCTAGATTACTTGAGTGTTTGGAGTTCGATCCTGAAGAATTTTATCATTTATTAGAACAAGCTGAAGGGCAAGCAAAAATATGTCAAGGGATTAAGGATGAAATACCTCAATATATAATTGGGAAATTGGGTCTAACTCGTAATTCAGTTGATGGTGAGGACATTGTTTTTAAATAAATTGTTTAACATTCACATAATCATTTTTATTTTCAAAGATATTGATATAAATTTTCAAAAGCTGGAGGAATGTTCATTAAAAAAAAATCAAAATCAATCTGTTAAGAAGGATACTTTTACATCGGTAAAAATGGTTTAGAATTTTTTAAGATAATTTTTAATTTTATATTTTTGATTCATTTTAGCCACCATCAGAAATAGATTTTGATGTTATAAAATTGATCTCAAATGGTGCATATGGGGCTGTTTACCTTGTAAGGCATAAGCAAACTCGTCAAAGGTTTGCTATGAAGAAAATTATAAAAAATAATTTAATGTTACGTAATCAAATTGAACAAGTTTTTGCTGAACGTGATATTATGAGTTTTACTGATAATCCTTTTGTTGTCACCATGTATTGTAGTTTTGAAACAAGGGTAAAATTGTCTGAGAATTTAATAATTATACAATTTTTTCAACAAATAATATATTTTTATAGAAACACCTTTGCCTTGTTATGGAATATGTTGAAGGAGGCGATTGTGCTTCTTTATTGAAAAATATTGGACCGTTACCTTCGGATATGGCTAAATTTTATTTTGCTGAAACTGTACTTGCTGTTGAATATCTTCACAACTATGGAATCGTTCACCGAGATCTTAAACCTGATAAGTATGTTTTAACTCCTATTTACAGTTTGTTATTATAATATAATTTAATAATACTATGTTGATTTATTTAGTTTGCTAATAACAGCTTTAGGTCACATCAAACTGACAGATTTTGGTTTAAGTAAAATGGGACTAATGTCATGTGAGTAATTTTTTGTTTTGCATAAAATATAAATAATTTAAAGTGAAGTCATCTTTTGTGTTGTGTTTTGAATATGAAAGACAACATCAAATAGTTAAACAGAAAATATGTCTTTATTGAGAAACAATATAATTGTTAATGATTGGTGTGCCTGTGATCGCACTCGCGATTAGTGGACATTCCCCACTACTAATATATATAATATTTATCGATACGTAACATATTGATTACATTTTTAGTGGCTACTAATTTGTATGAAGTGCATGTTGATCGTGACACAAGACAGTTTTCTGATAAACAAGTGTTTGGAACTCCTGAATACATAGCACCTGAAGTGATATTAAGGTTTATATAATTTTTAATAATAATAAAAAAAAGAGTATTAATTTTAAGTATTTCATTATTTTTTCAGACAAGGTTATGGAAAACCAGTTGATTGGTGGTCTATGGGAATAATTTTATATGAATTTTTGGTTGGTTGTGTACCATTTTTCGGAGAAACACCAGAAGAGTTGTTTGCACATACTGTAAATGGTAAAGTTCAATAATAAATTGATTTTAATAGCAATATATATATAGGTGACTGTTTTTATCATAATTTCTACTTAATTATTTGCATAATAAAAATAATTTTGAACAATTTTTTTTGGTTACTTTTAGTTACATATTAAACTATTTATCAACTATGTAATCTTTTATAAGTTTTTCTCTTATGCTTTGTAAGGGTGGTAACTTTGTTTTTTTTTAAATAGAAACATATTATATTTAGTTAATTATTTGATAATTAATAATTTATTAATGTTCATCAATTAATTGATTAATCTGATTATTATTTAATTAGAAAATAATATGTAACACTAAAAATAACCAAAAAAAAAAAATTCAAAATCATTTTAATTCTATGAATAATCAAGTAGGGTTATGATAAAATAACGACTTAATATATTATTAAATAAAATTAGTATTAATTATTTTATAATTTTATTTACAATACTAATTTATTAAATATTGACCATAGATTAATATTTGTTCATCTTTCAAATTCAATCTTTTATTAATTTTTATTTTTTTATAGATGATATTGAATGGCCTGATGAAAATGAGTGGCCTATTCAAATTGAAGCAAAAAATATTATATCATCATTGCTTCAACAAAACCCTCGAGATCGATTAGGCACTGGTGGATCACATGAAGTTAAAGATCATCCTTACTTTTATGGTGTTGATTGGAACTCATTATTAAGACAAAAAGCTGAGTTTATGCCTCAGCTGGGTGATGAAGAAGATACTAGTTATTTTGATTGTAAGCTTATATTTAAATAATTTTGTATTATTTCTATACATAATGAAATGTCATATTATTAATTCAAAAAAACTCTTTTCCAATGATTTCTGACTTGTATTTTGTAATATACAAAAAAATATATATATATATATATATTTATCAAATGTTTTATACAAATAAAGTTCAAGATAATTGTTTAAATGTTTAATAATTCAATTTTAAATATAAAAGTTAGATAATTATTTTATAATTGAAGGAGTCATAAAAAAATTACAAGTTAAAACTGTTTTTAGGAATTTTTTCCTAATGCTATCACTAATACTATACATAATTGTAAAACACTTTAAAACTCTCTTTTTTTGAAACTTATGGTAGATCAATGTTTATAAAATTAACAAGAATTGTCTTTTTAGTTTTGAACAAATTTCAGGGGTAGCCCTATCATATTTTGAAAAATATAAATTCTACATTTATATGCAAAGGACCATCCTATTAATGCAATTTGAAATTTTTTATAGGAATCCAAATAGTTTTTAAAATGTCTTCAAACCTCCATTATCTTTCACTACTATTGTTTTTTATCTTTAGGGTTGTGGATCCCTCTCTTAGTTATGCTACTGCACTCTAAATATGAATATAATTTTAGTTTGGCCTAGTTATTTATTAAATATCTTTTTAGCTCGTGCTGACCGATATAATCATGAAGTTGATGAAGACACTGATGATGATTCATTGATTCTGGGTACATTTTCTTCTTATTCACCACAGTTTAAGAAAGTTGCTAGTAAATTATCCATGAATAATGATTTCCAGTCATTATCCTCATCAATAAATTACAAAGAAGATTCTTTATCAACTAGTACTGGTAAATTAAAATATTCAATAAATAATTAATGTACTGTTTAAATTTTTAATGATAAAAAATATTTTTAGGATTGTTTGACACATCAGCTTCAGAAGGAGAAACTGTAGATGAAATTCTTAAATCACCTGTAGCCAAAAAAACTACAATTGATTTGTCAAACACTGATAACGGCATGCCCCAAATCAATCGTAGGCGTCGTCTTTACAGCAAAGAGTGTATACCTAAGTTTTCTATTTCAATTGAAGATGATAAATCTCTGTAAGATTTTTCTTTTTAATATATGAATAATTATTTTTTTTGTTATTTGTTTTCTTTCATAAAAGAATCACAAATACGTTATTGATTAATTTTGTAGACATTTTACTAAACATTAATTAACAATTTCATGTTAAATTGACAATTTTTAGCTTCGGTGCAAAGCTGATATTGTATTAGTTTTACTATGATGTGGTTTTTTCTTTATTATTTTTATTTTTATTTTTGTGTCTGTTACCACTTTTTCTCAGCTCTCACAGAATCAATTTCTTTCAACGATATGTCGAAAAATCACAAATCGTATCTAGTCCAAGACATTACATTCAAAAATTGAAAAAATTTCCCTCATTCCCTATAAAAGGTGGAAATCTCCAAAAAATTACAAATTTAAAAATTGCTAATTTTGGACATTATTAAAATTTTTTTTATTTAAAACTGCCATAATTTTTTTAAAATTGACCAAATCAATATAATTTTTTCTTCTAAATGCATGATGTCTTTACTTATCATTTGGTATATTTTCTTTATAAATCTGACCTTTTACCTGCCTACAGGGGGATTTAAAATGACAACTTTTTCACAAAAAATTAACTTTTTTAACTTAATTTTTGAAAGTGTTCTGGAAATACTGATACTTTTATATATATCTTAAATTAAAGCTAATGTAATGTACTTTGTTATGAAAAAAAAAAAAAAATTTTTGACTTTATTTTGTCTTCTTGGTGAAATGGTCTTCACCGTATGCTATTTTTGTGTTAAAATTCTCGATTTATATTTTATATTTTTAACTTTATATTTCTATAATTTATTGAAAAATGTATAGCTCAATACAATTTTTTTATGAGAAATACTGTTTATATTCTTCTTTTATGCAACATACTTTTTTTTTAAATTGGACCATTTCCCTTTATATATTTATATATTATAAATATATATTTAATAATCATATATTACACTTATAAATCATAAAACTTAAGCAAAATATAAATAAGGAAATAGTAGATCATGTGGCTTTTGGAATAATCCACCATTTTTTTAAAATTAAACACTATATACAGATTTGCATCGAAGCGTATTTTATGATAGTGATTTTAATCACTGTGAGATATCATCTATACTGAACCCAACTATGCCACGTCCTCACTGTGCCGTGACCCCATTGTGCTGGGTTTTTTTTCTTAGTTATCATTCTTATGACTATTCCTCTTTTTGTATATCTCAAATTATATTTATTTAAATTTTATCTAGTATTAATCAAAATCCAATATAAAGAGCTTTTCTTTGTTAAAATTTAGAGATCATTATTGATTATCATTTTGTGTACATTAATATAACAAAAATTTCTATAATGGTTCATAAAAATGATATTAATCTTATCAGTGTATTTTACTTGTTATCTTTTAATTATTAATATATTATATGAAACATTTTGAATTGACTAGAAAATTTGTGAAGAAGTTGGATAAATAAAAAAAGTTTTTTTTGTAAAATTGACATAGTTTAAGAGTCTAAAATAATAGAAATATTAAAAATAAAAACTGATTTCTTTAATGTTTGGTTATTGATAAAGTACTTGTATTTAAATATCATGACTTTTTAGGAAATATCACTTTTAGACATTTTTCGTAATGCATATTTTGCTGTCAGATATTGATCTTTTTATTGTTATTTAACCCTTAAAATACCTGCAAAATTCTTTCAAATTTTTAAAAGAAAATCAAAATAAATTACTCTGAGAACTTTTATATATTTATATATATAATTTATGATAGCCTACTTATTCATTATTCAAAAGATAATTGTATTAAGTATTTAATTCTTAAAGTACAAAGTATTATACAATTTTTTCTAATATTTTATTTAATATGCTATATATTGAATAAATCCATTCATTTCTTGTAATCAGGTAAAATTTATAAAATATTGTATGTATTTGGTACAGATTTATAAATTTTAGTCTATTAAAACAAACATGTTCATGTTTATTATAGACAATTGCGAAGTTTATCGGAAAATGAATCTGATAAGCCACTTAAAAATAAGAAAGAAGAATTTTTAAGTTTACCTGTGACTGCAAATTTGTGTCAAACATTGCCTCCATCACAAGGTACAAATTCAACTATTAATACAACTAAAAGTTGTATTAATAGTTCTGGCAATAATCAACGTACAAGATCAGTTATAAAAAGTTTTTCAGCTACAGGATTATCACTGATGATACCTCCAGGTAAATTAATTACTAAAAGTATCATTTTAAAATTAAGTTTCTATATTTCTATGTATATTTTTTTTTTACCATCAATTTTTTTATGTACAAATATATGAGTCACTCTGTTGCAAAAAGACACGTTTTAAAAAAAAATGATTTTATAATTTTGCTTTTTCTGGGCGAATTAGCTTACAACTAAAAAGGAAAAATTAAAAATAAAGTTTTTTTCAGACACATGTCCTATGCATCTAGAAAACTCATATGATCTTAATTTTTTTTTAAGGTAATATAAAAAACAATATTTTAAACTTAAATATCATCTTAAAAAAATATGTAATATTTTATAGTAAATGCCTCTAATAACAAATTAAAAGATTATGAATCACAAAATTAAGCTAAAATGATTTTCTGTACCAGCCCAACAATATATCCATAAGTATTAATTTAAATCAATTTTTTTATTGCATAAAATGTAATAATGAATTGTAATATTATAACAAATCATAATTATTCTAACTTGATGGACTTAGCTTCTAAGACTATTCAGCTTATGAAAATATTCCTGCAAAATGTGTGATAATTTCCTAAACTGTTGAAAGGATCTTTGCACATTTATACTTTAATTTATTGTTCAATAAAAATAAAATATATTGCTTACAGAGTGTAATGTGGTTGGTACACAAGGATCATCCAGTGCATTGAGTTCACCTTGTCGAGAAATGCCGTTAATTACTAGCTTGAAACCACCAATTATTTTACGTAGAGGTCCTTCTGGTTTTGGCTTTACAGTAAACACTATTCGAGTGTACTTTGGAGACAGTGATTTTTACACAATGCATCATTTAGTATCGGTATGTAAATAAATTTATCTTACAAAATAACAATGATAATGTTGTTTAAAAAATAGAGCTATGCAATTTTTAATTTTGACATATTGGAGGCATTTTAATCATAAGGCTAAATCAATTATAAATTAATGTTAAAATATTTGATTGACATAAGAAAGTAAAATTTAATACATGCATTGGTTATCCTCAAGTTAATATAAAGTATCATTCCAAAACAAATTATTTGTATAATTTTTTTTTTTTATCATAATTATGAACCTGCTGTATAGCTAAAATTATCATGGTATTAAATTTTTTTTTTAAATGTTTCATAACAGATTTTATTTCTTATTGTATACTATTGGTTTATTAATCTATCTATTAGCTTCAATAAAAAGCTGAGAAGGTATTAATATTACTATGATGTATTTAGTTATTTTTTTGTGACTATCACTGTTTTCTCTCAGCTTCAACGATATGTCAAAAGGTATTGTACAAAAAATACCTTTTACAACTTATTATTTAAAAATATTCTGGAAATACTCCGAGCTTTAAACATATGTTAAATTAAAACTTGTGTTTATTTAAACTTTAAGTTAAAAAAAATATATATTTCCAACATCTAATATGTAAATAGCTCCAAAGCTAAAAAAAAATATCACTATTAGTTATTTGCCAACTCTAAATAGTTGGGATTAAGGCAAGAAAAAAGAAGATTTTTTTTTTTAATTAAATAAATGGGTTAAGATGGGAGGGATTAGTACACATATAACCTGCCCCCAATATATTATATTTTCTTTATAAGATCATTTTTATTGTATTAGTTAGTTGTATGTTTGTTGCCATTTAAAATAATTAAGTTGATTCCCTTTAATGGTATAAGGGATGAATTAAAAAAAAACTTAATAATTAATATATTGAGAAATATATATATATATTTAGTTATACCATCTACAATGTTGGTACAATAAGTATAAAAGATGATAATGATTATTTTGAGAAGAGAAGCTACCCATTGACAACACTCTTTTTGTAGTGATATTATTTAATAGTTAGAATTTTTTTTTAGTTATTGTGGTATAAGAAGATCTCTGCACAACTTCCTTTTTAATCACTTGGATGGATTGTCAGGCATTGTGGGTAAAGTGAGGTCCTTTACTAAATAATTAGGATGCTAGGGAATGATTGTATCGAATTTTCCTTAGCAAATTGCAATACTTTCTTTAGTTGTAATTCTGAATATAAGGAATAGTTTGAAACCTAAGGTGGTGCATGTGATTAGTCGAAGTATCTTATTTTGCATAATTTAAATTTTATTTAAGTTTGCTGATCCTACATTTTAATTCCATATTGCTATGCGCAACGAATAAGGCAATAACTCAAAAAAATCCATTTTGAGATTATAAGATATTTGAATTTGAGTTTTACTCTTATAATAACTTTTATCAAAATATCTATAATTTGGATTGAATCGGAATTAAACTACTAAGAAAAATGATAAATATATAGTGTGTAATCAGAAAGTATATCAGTTCTTCTTATAGATTCTTCTTCTTTATCTAACGTATATAAAGGAGAGTGTCGATTTGGCGTAATAAATAGCTTTGATTTTTTTTATAACTATTAGGTGATGAAAGCGAGAAAGAAGTTTTAAAATGAAGTCTTTTTGAATTATTCTGTTGTTGCCAAACATTTTCATTATCACTATTTGTTACCTAATTTTTATGTTGTTTATGATTATTGTGCTTATCTTAACTGATATATAACGGTAAGAGCTTTTAATAGAGAGAACTAAAAAAAACTTGGTTGTTGGTGTAATGTCCATTAGAAACTGAGAAATATATAAAATTGAAAAGTACCAAAAAGAATTTTCATAATATAATAATTATTCTAAGAGTAATCGAGTGGCTAATATTATAAGAATCACCCAGTGTACAACAACTATATCTTTTAATAATTTCATTGTAAAAATCACAATACTAAGTTTAATTACTATAATTAGTATTAATTATTTATTATACTTATAAATCATAAAACTTGTTATCAGGATATAAATAAGAAACTAAGATTTTATGCTGCTTTTGGAATAATTTAATAATTCCTTTTAAAAATTAAACTATTTACAGATTTGCATGAATGTGTTTTTACAATAGTGATTTTAATTTATGTCAGATATCATCTATACTTATTCCCATTGTGGCGTCATCCCACTATGCTGGGTTTAATTTTGTTAAACACTTCATTATACTTCAAATAAACTAACATTTATATTTAATAAACCACTAGAAAATATGGTCTCTTAAAGTTTATGTCTTATAAAATTTTATCAATATCTATTACAATTTAATTAAATGTTTAATGGTAATGTTACTAAAATGTTATTTTTATTAGCATTATAATTGGGGTTAGTAATTTATTAATTTAAATTACATAGTTTTCAAATGCTTTGTGAACATATTTTACATAAGTATTGGTAAATTTTAATTATCCTAATATATATTTTACAGGCAGTTGATTCTGGAAGTCCTGCATTTGAATCTGGTTTAAATCCTGGAGATTTAATTACACATGTCAATGGGGAACCAGTTCAGGGAATGAATCATACTCAAGTGTTGCAGTTGCTTTTATCTGGAGGAGATAAAGCAACTTTACGATCAACACCATTGGAATTTACATCAATTAAAACTGGTGGACGTCGTAGAGAACCAGGCAAAAGCAAATTAGCTTCTAATTCTAGACATAAGGCTTTAGGTTTTGTTCATTCTCATAGACATAAACGTTCTCAGAGAAAAGATCTTCCTGCAGGAGAAAGTAGAAGAAGGCATCATAAAAATTCTTTATTCAGAAAGATAAGCACAAAATGCACTCCAGACTATCAGCAGGTAAAAACCATTTATAGTAATTTAATAGCTGAATTACACATACTTTAATCGAGATATTAATTATAATATTGGCCTAAATATAAAAAAAAATAATTTTTATAGAATACAAAATTATTATTATTATTCTTAATAATTATTATTATTAAATAGTATAATTTTTTTATATAATGATACAAATTTTTATTTCATATGCAATACAAGTAAAAATGAAATAGAATAAAATAAAAATATGTTTAATGAAATAGTATTTATTTAATAATATAAGGTAACACTTATTAGTGGTTAGATTTTTTTCGCGTTCAATGGCTCATTTTAATACGCTACTTTTTTTTTTTAGTTAACTGCTATGTCGAATCGTGTTCCATCTGTTCAAACTGAGACTAGTACTGCAGATTATTCAACTGCCAGCTCATCTAGTTCATCTTCAAATTCTCCAACTATCACACCAAACTCACCCACACCATATCAACGGCCTTCTACATTACATGGTCTAAAACATAAACTGCATTCAGTTACAAAAAATTTACATTCTCCTAATCGCCGTAAATCAGTTGGACACATACCACTGTCACCTTTAGCTAGAACTCCATCTCCATCTCCTCTTCCTCAATCACCAACTAGATCACCTAGTCCATTAATTTTTTCATCAGGACATCAACCTGGTAGCTCCAATACTACTCAATCTTATAGTCCATCTACATTGTTGTCTACACCAACGTCTAGTAAAAAAAGCTTTGGTCGACCCAAGAGTTCTGAACCTGGTTCCCCATTATTGCGTAGAGCATTATCCCCTGATCGTTTGCACCCTCGTACAGCTGAAAACAAATCTACATCTATATCTCCATTATGTGATCCAGCCTTAAAAGTAACTTTACATGCTCCACGTGTGACAGTTACATCCAAATCTCCACCAGTAAGCACTAAAACTTCATTGATAGAATCTGATTCTACTATGAAAATAACAACGAAACCTGATTGTAATGAAATAAATAAGTTAAATCATGATGATAAAGTTCTAGTCACCAGTACAAAATGTACAGAAGAAGAAGTGAAATTTACAGCATCTGAAAATTGTTCATTACCCCGTATTGCTGAAGAAAAAGACTTACCCAGTACAATTAAAGAAGACTTATCTTGTACAACTGTAGTTCCTTCTCCATCTGAGACAGTAAAACTAAAATCATCAAAATCCTCTAAAGGATATTTTTTTAACAGAAAATATAAAAATAAAGATTTAAAATCTAACAGCAGCAGTAATGAAAATGAAGAAGTTAAAAGTAATAATAATTTACATCACACCTGAAATAAAATTTAATCCTCCTGTTTTCTTTTGTTCTAATTTTTTTAAATTCTTATATGCATATATATTAGCTTTATTAACTATCAATCTAGTCGATCAAAATTATAATTAGAAGTTTAAATAGTCTTCTAATAATATGAAGATTGTCAGATTTAATTTTAAATGTATTGATATATTAAGCCTTCATTAATGCATTCGTGAATCTACTAATATTGTTTCCAATTAATTTATTGTGTTTTAAGTTATCATGTTTATTTGTTCATGTATCATTGTTCTGTTTTTTTTTTTGTAATATTTATTACACAAATGTTTATCGACTAGCCACCAGATATATTATAATAATACCCAAAAACGTTATCATACCCAATCATACCAGTTTTTCTATAATAATACTTTAATATACAAAAATAATAATGTTGTCTTTCAAAAATTAATATTTTGGTTTATTGCAAATTAACTGTTGTATATTTGTTAATAAATATGTATTTGTTTAAAAATCTAGTTAAAATTTTTGTTATATGGTAAAATAAGATTAACATAATATTCTATATACATAAATTTAAATTATAAAAATGACCAAGTTATCGTGGTGTTTATTCTCTTTTATGTATCTATCTTTTTATTATATTGTAGTAATTAACAACAAACTTTCTATAAGTTTATATTGAATTTAGACTAAAGAATTTTCTGTGTAAATTTCGCAAAATTATTGTTTAGGAACAATAAGAATATTCTTTATTGTTCAGTGATGTTTAGTAGTCATAGAACTTTATTCAATAAAGGCTCCTTTAAATATGTCATGATGGTAAACATTTTTATGATATTTCTTAATAAAAATATTCGAATTAATTTTTTTTTTTTTTTTATGAAAATAGCGCTAAGTAAAAATGTTATTATTTTTTAATGTTCATTCTTTTTTTTATTAAATTGTGATATTTTGTGATAGTTAACAGCACACAAAAAATAATATTGTTATAATTACCATTTTATTATTTGTACATATTAGTCTTTTAATTTAATTATTACTCAATTATCAAACACAATATCATTAATATAAGTAGGTATTGGTTTAATTAAATTTTTTTTTAATTGGTTTATTTTAGTTATTTTTACTATTTTATTGTACATTACATATATATGTTAAATTTAATATCACATCGTTTTTTTTTATTTAAATTAATTTAATTTGCCATGATAGCATTACTTAATATTTTCAAATTATTTAAGTAATTAATATTAAGAATGTGACAAGAATTCTTTGTTTGAAAGAATTCATTTCACAATTTTCCTCTTGATAATGTATAATTTTTTGTGAAGTTTAGTCTAATCTTAAATAACATCATATTGGTGTTTTTTTTTATTGTAAATTGCTACAAGATAACATTTACTTTAAATTTAGCTTTAATTTATTTTCTCTCTATTGTAATCATATTTTTTAGGATAAGGTTGTAAAATAATCCATTTTTTTAAGTCTATCTCTGTATTAACGTGCCAATGTGAGTTGATTTTTTTTATTATTTATCATTTATTATTTTTTTAAGCTTAACACAAAAAAACTTATTTTATGTATCCCATTTTATTTTTATTTACTTCATATATATTAATATTTAACATAAATAAATGCATACAAAAGTATAAAAACAAATTATTTTTTTTGAATCTGTGAAAATATTTGATTAATTATTTTCTATCTGGTCATTAAGCACATATTTTATTTAATAAATAAAATTATTTTAATTAATCTTTGCTAAAGTCTTTTTAAGTCACATTTTTTATACTGTTCCTAAAGCTATTAAATTATTATTTTTTATTTATTTATAGTAATAAATTAATTTACCATTTCTTTTTCCTTACTATCTCAAAAAATAACTTACAAAAAATAAAAAATACTATAAATGGATTTAAATAATTATTTACTAAAATACTGGTCAACCTAATTATTACTAATTTATTTATAATAAAAGCTTTAAGCTGATATAGTTATATGCTAAAATATGTTAAATTTTTGTATATAAGTTTTCACCTTTTATTTTTGTCATCATTTTGTAGTTCATCATATTGTTAATCTTTTGAATTTTGAGAATTCGATTTTTATGAATAATATATTTTTAATTATCTATTGTTTAATAATCAGACTTCTAAACCTTTATTATGTTAAACATATTTTCAATTGTACAGAATAGTTTGTAATGAATAAAAAAATTTTTTTATTAGATGTTTTTTAAAACTTGTTTTACAATTCAATTTTTGAAAAAAGTTTTTCATTTGTGTTACAATCGACTAAATTTTTTTAGTTAAATTTAATGAAAATATGCATTTAAAAATGTAAAAATATGCAATTATATGCCTTAAAATATATTAAATATACCAATTTTTCAATAACTATATGCAAAAAAAAAAGAAGTTAATATTAATTCGAAAAAATTTTTTATACCTTTTTAATGTAAATTAATTCAAATTATTTTATTACATAACATACATATTTAATATGAAAAAAAAATTATAAATTATACCCAATCAAACTCTTTTACAAAACCACTGAGCGAATTTTTCGGCATTTTGATAATATACATTTTAAAAAAAACGTGAATTTTTAGACAAAATTGTTTAAACACAGCGTAACACCTACATACGAAAAGTACCAAATAAACTACACTTGTAACACTACACATACATACATCGGATTACCAATCATGTGCTTACATATTTTATCGAGGAAAACACGTACAGATGATATAAAATGAAGAAATTTAATAACAATAAAGAAATTTAATAAAAATAACCTAATTCATAGAAAAATGAAGCTCGCACGTGTCTAGACGGCGTTCCGGATAATTGGCGCCCGGTTAATCGGCGTTTTACTGTATATATATATATTAATATCGATTATCGAATTTATAAATATCTAAATCCCAAAAGTAATTTTACTTTTGTACATAGTATTCTACGGATCTTCATCAAAAACAAATTTTTAATATTTTTAATGCAAATTATAAAATATATGCTACTATTTCTAGAAATAATCAATATATGCATTTATATGCTCAAAAACGTCAAATATGCAAAATAAGTTTACGTAATTGTAATCTAGACTTCATGAATCAAATTTATATCATACTTGGGTTTAATTCATATTGCGCGAAAAAAATATGCAAAGTCATAAACATCCGAGCTCTAGTTATGATCATGAAAAAACTGGTTATAAATAAAAATATCTATTATTCATTTTAATTTAAATTAATCAAAAGTTGTCATACCTTCCCTTGGAAATATTTTTATCTATGTATCTAATACACTACTATAAAAGGTCTATATCAAGGGATATAGTTAATACATAAATCCTCTCTTACTAGATTGTCGATAACTTTATTATTGATATCATTAACATTTGGATTAAGTCTAGAAATAAATACTAGATTTTACTTCACCTATCCTTATACTGTAAAAGGCAGACCTGTCTCCTCAAATAATGGTTTTGGTTTTTAGAATTCTGTTAGTAACAGAATATACAGAATTTTCATTATAATCGCCGAATAAAATGAAATTACGTGTGTATTGATACAAATGTCGTATATTTTCATAGCATTATATTTTACATTGTTATTAACTGACGACTTCATTCAAACTTTTAAACTAAAATTGTTCCTCAATTTATTATAATAACTTATCCGTAAATTTTTACATTCCAAAAATCTTTCTATCGTATTTTGTTTATTATTTTTACTTTTATACTTTTTTTATACTTTTTTTTTACTACTTATTTTTATACTTTACATGTTTTGTCCACAAAAAGAGAAAGACGAAAGTTTTTGATCTCGAACCTTCAGAAATTTTTTGATTTTTGAGTTTTATCAATGTGTATTTTTAATAAAAGTAATGTAAAAAAAATGTATAAAACTACTATATATCCTGTGATTTTTTTATCATAACCCACTCAATTACTTAGAGGGCAATTAACAAAGGAAAAATGGTGGAAAAAATTCTCAACGCTATATTGTTAAAACCCAACCAAAAGCTAAATTGTACATTCACAAACAACAATTATGTCAATTGCCACCGAAATTTCTGGTAATTTTCTTTTTTTCGTCTCAACTACTTGGCGTCGGCTACCTTTATCCTAAACTTCCACTTACACATCATTTACGCTCAAATCAGATGTCTTTATATCGCATTCAATAACACCCCTCAATCTCTTTTTTGGTCTTCCTCTACCTCTTCTTTTTTCTACATTCATTTCTATAACTATTCTTATAGCTTCCGATTCTTCTCTCCTTATAACACCATAGATGATCACACCATCTAAGTATATTTTCTCTCATCGTATCTACGATTGACGCTACACCTATACTCCCTCTTATATGTTCGTTCCTTATTCTGTCTTTTTTTAGTCACTCCACTCATCCATCTATGCATTCTCATCTCTGCTACACTCATTCTCTNTATCTAGTCGAAGACATTACCCTTCAAAATTGAAAAAATTTCCCTCGTTCCCCGTAAATGGGGGAAACCTCCAAAAAAATTACAAATTTAAAAATCGCTAATTTTCGAAATTTTTTCAATTTTTTTTACTAAAAACTGCCGTAACTTTTTTTAAAAATGAACATATCAAAATAATTTTTTTTTTATAGATGCATGATGTATTTACCTATCATTTGGTATATTTTTTTTATAAATCTGATCCTTTACCTGCCCACGGGGGGGATTTAAAATACAACTTTTTTACAATACATTACTTTTTCAACTTAACTTTTGAAAGTGTTCCGGAAAGTCTGACACTTTTATATATATCTTAAATTAAAGATAATGTAATGTACTTTATTATGGAAAAAAAAATTTCGGACTTTATTTTGTCTTCACGGTGAAAATGGCTACCAAATGCTATTTTTGTGTGAAAATTCTCGATTTTATTTTTTACATTTTTAACTTTACAATGCTATAACTTATTGAAAAGTTTATGAATCAATACAATTTTTTTATGGGAAATAATATTTATATCTTTTTTTCATTCGACATACTTTATTTTAATCAGGATATTAATAAGGAAATAGCAGATCATGTAGCTTTTGTAATAATCCACCAATTTTTTTAAAATTAAACACTATCTAAAGATTTGCATCGAAACGTTTTTTATGATATTGATTTTAATATCATTATACTTGACCCAACTATACACGTCACTACTGTGCCGCGACCCTTCTGTGCTGCGGTTTTTTTTTTAAATGTATTTTTTGTAATTTATTTTTAAACTTATATATCGTAATATAACTTATATTATGATATGATATTTAAATGAGACCCGCACCCTCTTATTCATCTCTTTATTAGCACTCAGGGAGATTCAAGATTCTTCATTGAATTATGTTTCTATTACTCGACTTGATTAATGATTTATTAATTACTGGAGTTATAAAATTCCTTTTAATTGTTTGTTATCACGTAACTTATAGCTTTTTGTAAGTAAAGTAATTTTGGGGATTCCGGAGTATAGTTTGGATTTTAACGACCAGTAGGCGCTAGTATTGCATGTGGCTGTTATCTAGCGTAGTGATGAGGGAAAATGAAACCAAATGTACACTGACTTTTAATATCCCAACGTAAACTATTAAAGCCAAATCCAACGTCAACTAATGCTAATAAGTGAAAGCCAATTAAATTTTTTAAATCAGACTATTTCCCTATATACGGGGGGCTTCAAATATAAAAAATGCATAT